GCCTGAAGGAGTCTCCCTCTCAGCCCAGATCCCAGGGCCTGTTCTGGTTTGAACTCCAGATGCTGGTTTATGTGCTCCAGAGACTGCATGTCCACTAGCCAGGCACGGGCCAAGTCATTCCTGATCGATCCTCTCTATTCACCCTCCCAGCCACAGCCCTCAGCTTGGGGCTGGCATGTGGTTGGCGCTCGGCTAGCTTTGTCGCTAGAGAGAAAAAGGGACAGGCACACGGGGAAGAAAACACGGTCTGGGCAGAGGCTTGGCGATGGCGAGGAGCAGAGCGTGCAGGGGACAGTCCTCTGCTCTCAGCTTCTCCCTGTTCTTAAGCCCGTCTCTGGTCTTCCTCCCACGTCTGCGACAACAGGGTGCTTGGGGGTTCAGGGACCAGGACCTCAATTGTAGGCCACCCCTTCCATTAAAGGGAAGTGGCTGAGGCCCTGTGCATCCCCACGTGTTTTTGTTAGGTGCTGTCGAGTCAATTTCGACTCGTAGTGACCCCATGTGACAAAGTAGAACTGCCCAATAGGGTTTTCTTGGCTGTAATCTTTCTTTTCTCCCAGTTCATTTTTTTCTGTATTTATTTTGTTGTTGTTGAGAATATTCACAGCAAAACATACACCGGTTCAAGTTTCTACATGTACAGTTCAGTGACGCTGATCACATTCTTCGAGTTGTGCAACCATTCTCACCCTCCTTTTCTGAGTTGTTCCTCCCCCACTAACATAAACTCCTTGCCCCATAAGGTTCCGACCTCATCTTTCGCGTTGCTGTCCTCACTTTGATCCTACACGGATAGTTCTTAGAAGAGCATATTGCTCAAGGGAGAACTTTTTTACAAGTTAAGCTAAACTATTGTTTGGTTTTAAGATGACTTCAGGGGATATTTTTTGTTTAAGGTTTAAAGATTATCTCAGGGCAATAGTTTCGGGGGTGCAGCCACCCTCCATGGCTCCAGGAAGTCTAGATTCCATGAGAATTTGAAATTCTGTTCTTGACTGTAATCTTTACAGGAGCAGGTCACCAGGTCTTTCTCCTGCAGTGCCACTGGGTGGGTTTGATCCGCCAGCCTTTTGGTGAGCACTGAGTGCTTAATTGTTGCATCACCAGGGCTCCTTAAGCCCCACGTGGCAGGGACTTTTCCACTAGCCACAGTCGGGCCCACTCTACTTTTACGGACCTCCGAAAGAATTTTACTTTCTTTTAAAATCAGAAGAAAAAATAGTACTTTTAGCTTGAAGAGAATGTTTTAATATGTAATACAGTAAAACCTGCGAAAGCCAGAAACTGTAAGGTGAAAACCTGTCAGAGAAGGAAAACTCAAATATTTTCCACTAAATAGAGAGCAATAGCCAAGCGGTAAGGCTGCACCCTGTCAACGGCATAAAACTTGGGAGACCCAGAAAAACAAGGCAGTTGTGTGAGTTCTGACTCTCACAGGTTTCGCTGTATTAACACATGCATTTTTATTACCAATGTAGTTGCAAAACCAAATTTTCAATATTTTTTTTATGGAAGAAGGAGCCATGAAATTCACAATGCGCCCTTGCTCCATGTTCAGGGCCACCCGCATTCTTGCTCTGGGGTGGGGGGATGCCTTGTGCTCACAGGAGCCGAGGAGCTCCTGAGTGAGGGGCAGGGGACGGCTTCCCCTGGACAGGGAGGTGCTGCTGAGCTGGGTTTTGAAGGATAAGTAGTTCTCACCCTGTCCTCAGACAGCAGGGAGAGTTCCACGGAGACACAGACTCAGGAAGGGGTCTGGCCCAGCCCCATGAGGATGGGGGTCTGGTCTGGCTCTAGGAGGGTATGGGGTGGGGGCTGGGCAGGCGAGGGTGGGGGGCCTGGTGTGCCCAATGCATGGTGAGAAAACACTTCTTCCCGGCACCTGAAATGCCTGCCAACTTCTAACCCCATCCCCAGCTGTAGCCCAAGTCCCGGAAGCTCCTGGTTTGTACATCATTTCCCAGGCTCTTCTCCGGGGCCAGCCTTGCTTCGGCTCAGCCTTAGGGGTCAGGACCTTTGGAAAGGACTGGCGCCAACACCCCTCCACCAACGCCCAGCTCCCCTCCCAGCCCTTCCTATCTGACCTATCAGTCCAGCCTAGGCTCCCTGCTAAAAGCTTTCACTGTCTGCGATGGCCCAGGTTGGCCTGACCCCCACGCCGCCCCAGCCCGCTGCCTGCCATCCCTCCCAGGCCCTCCACACCCGGGCCTGTGTGCTTCTTGCAGCCCAGAGCTCCCTGACCCTCCTCCTTCACTCAGCTGACTCCTACCTGTCCTTCAAGATGCAACCCCAGCCTCACCTTCTCCAGGCAGCCTTCCAGGAGTCCCCCAAGTCTCAGTCAGGGCAGCCCCCATGCTGAGCTCCTCCAGGGCAGACATGACCAACTCCTCCTTTTCCGAGTGCACAGAAAGGCTCAGTGGTGGTACTTGAATTAGGGCTGTGGGTCTAGGAGTGGGAGGGAGGGGGGAGTATGCGGCAGGGATTCCGTTCAGTCTGTGCATACATTTGCACACTGGACACCTGTGCCTTGTCCTAGGTGTTGGGCACACACCTGGGAAGAAACAAACTGTTGCCTCCAAGGGTCCCCCGGTCTGATGGGGAGAAACGAACCCCAAGTTCTCGTGAACATGTTCTGAGAGCTCCCAGGGAAACTGCCCCCGCGCTGTGGGCAAGGAGGGGAGGTGGTCAAAAATGGCTTCAAAGAGGTGACATCCAGGACACGGTCTGCAATGAAAAACTGGCATCAGCCAGATGAGTGGCGAAGGCTGTTAAACAGAGGGACCAGCGGAGCAAAGGTGGGGCAATGGGAAACCAGGCAGCCCTTAGAGCTGGGCATGTGGCAAAGGTGGGGTGTGGGAGGGAGAGGGCCACGGGGGGAGGGGCAGCAGCCAGAGGGGAGGTTGGGCTGCATCCATGGTTTTGGGGTCTACAGAGTGTTTTAGCAGGGAGTGAAGGGGTGGGGTGCAGTGAGGGGTGGGGGGAACTGAGGGAGGAGGGAGGTTAGACCCCAGGCTGATGTGCAGGAAGGAACAAAACCCAAGAAGTACTGGCTATGTGTGGGTTGGGGGGTCAGGAAAAGATGAGGAAGACCCGGGTCTCTGGGGGGCACTGGGTGGATGTGATGCCCTCATGCTGGGAAGCCGGGAAAGCTGGCAAGGCCCAGGTCTGGGGCAGATGGATGGCGAGGTCCAACTGGAACCAGGTGGATTTTAGGTACCTGTGGGACATACACGTGAAGATGCCTAGGAGGTTGCTGGGGCTCAGGTGTGAGCACAGTGATGTAGGGGCCCTGAGCATGTCTGAGGACACCCAAGAGTGTGTGTAGCTGAAGACAAAGAGGAGCTGAGACAGAGGAGCCATCATCAGCAATGGGCCTCCTGGAGAAGGGCTGGTGAGAGACAGGAGGACCGAGTTTTTGTGAAGCCAGGTGAGAACAAGGTGTCTAGGTGGACTGTTCAATGGCTGAGCATTCTCCCACCCCAGTGTGCAGACCCCTTGCTTTTTCACAGACATGGTATGCAATCTTATTGTTAAGAGGTAGGTCATATCCTCATTTTACAGATGAAGAAACAGGCTCAGCAGGGTCAAGTAACTTGCCCAAGGTCACACAGCTATTCATTCACTCTTTCAACACATATGCAGGGGCCTGATCTTGGAGCTGGGTAAACAAGAGTGGACATGTTAGTGGGCGAGAGAGACAGACAAGCACACAGGTGAATAAGCAGGAAATGCCAGATAGTGAGTTTCCATAAGAAAATAAAGCAGGGGTGTGGTTAAGTGTGGCTGGGGGTCAGGGTACATCTCTCTGAGGAGGGCACATTTGCTCCGAATGAGACAGAACCAGCTGTGCAAAGAGCAGACACAGGTGCAAAGTGGCCATGAAGTTGCTCCAGAGAGAGCTTGCTGCCACCACCATGGCAGGAATGTCCCACCGACAAGGGCATCCAGCAGGCTGCTCTGCAGCTTGGCCCTGGAGCCAGCCACAGAGAATTGAAGGACCAGATGGAGCACTGGAAACGGGCTGGATGGCTTTCCCGCCTGCCCTGCTCCCAAAGGCCCAGCCCCACCTGGTCTGACCTGGGCCAGGGCCCCAGTCAAGCCTGTGACTGAGTCCGGTTCTGGAAGGGCTAGGTGTCTTGGGGGCAAGCAGGTGGCAGATGGGGTTCACTAGTTCTGCCTGCCTGAGAGGGAAACTGAGTGGTTTCCGCAGAAGGTGTGGGGAATGGTTAAAGCTGGAAGATGAGCCACCGCTGCTGGGCTGTGAGAAACGCCTGCCCGTCAGAGGCCTCCTGGGGAAAGGGCTCAGAGAGGGCTATGACTCACCTATGGCCACACAACTTTGCCTGGCTGTGCATGCTCGTTTCCTGTTGCCCTGACCCTTGGGCCCATTCTTAAGTACTAAAACATACTCTGAAGCTCTCCCCCTTTTTGCTCCACTAAAGGGGACCTGGGGCTGAAATGGTGTTCTTCTCACCTCCATCTGCCCACAGAAGACAGGCTCAAGTGGAGCTCAATGTCACCAAGGCTCGGGGACAGGGGGCACAAGGTCAACAGGGCAGTGCCCCTCCCCCATACACCTAGGACAAAGGAGATGGCCACTTGTGACCAGAACTATGCCTGTAATCAGTCACAGGTGGCTCAGTTAGTCATAGGGTGGCTGGGCTGAAGCAATGACTCCAGACGTGTTCAGGGCCAGCAGTCCAATGTTAGGGCCTCCGGAGGGGACATACTCATAGGCCAGACAGATCCTGAAAGGAAGTGCCGCAAGCGGAGTCCCTCCACCTAGAGGAGGGAAGTGTCCGGTGACCACATCACCTGACCGGAGCTTGGCTTCTGTCCTAAGCAGACGGTGTTTCCGTTTTAGCAGCAAACGCTCCTGTTACAGGGATGCCTTCTTACAAAGCAGGAAGAGGCACTTTGTGGACCAGTATTCTTCACCAAAAAACCAAAATAAAGCAAAGGAACACAAAACAAATGTCTGCTCATCGGTGAGAAGGCAAAGGACTGCTCTGATGACCCAACGCCAACAACGTGGACACGCTCACGGGGCTGACAGACAGGAAGTGGGGGCACAAAGCCCTGCCCTGCCCACCAGGGCAGGAGGAGAAAGAGCTGTCCCCTCTCCAGACATGCAGAGGCCTGGTCAACCTGGATCTGGAGGGATGCCAAACCACCCAGCATTTTCCCCTCAGGGGCTGTGACGGTGCAGCTTGAAATTCAGTCGGGGACTGGGTTCAAATCCCAGCTCTGCCCCTTCCCAGCCTGGTGACCTAGTAACTTAACCTCTCTGAGCTGCCCCTCCCCCACCCAGAGGACAGGTGGCATCCATCCCCCAGGACCACCTCCAGAGTTCACAAGACATGAGTAAAAGCACCATTAAACAATGTATAATACCAACATTTATTATTTCTTTACTGCATTAAAAAAGTGATTCCATTCCTAGAGACCAAACAGCATCAGTGAGACGTTCTTGGAAGAGAATTCCCTTTGCTCCCAAGCCTTCGTGGCTGTGACTTTCCATCACAGAAGAGAGATGGCTTCCCAGGGGAGGGGAGTCTGGGCCCTCTGCCTGTGCTGTGGCCTCCCCCCAGTACTGCGGTACAGCACTGGGCCCTGCTCTGCCGCAGGAACGCGCGCATTCCTGAATACAGGTGGGCAGGGGCTGCAGGTGCCTTTCACCTGAGACCCAGCAGGCTGGAGGACACCCAGCAGCCGGCCAGGCCCCAGAGCTGTGTCTGGCACCTCGTGGGGCAGAAAGGCTCCACCAGACTGTGAGGCCTGGCAGTTCCCCCTCTCTGGGCCGGCCTCCTCCTCTGAAAGAGGGATCCCAGCCACAGTCCTGGGCCTCTCAGGCAGAGAACACGGTGAAATGGCCTCCCTCAGGGCCTGGGCCAACTGGACGCTCCATTCAGAGGTTGGAAAACAGCCCCCTGTCCTAGAGCCCTGGACCTCCCATGGAGCCCAGCCCCAAGGAGCCTTCTCCTGTCAGCTGCACCCCGACCCCCAGCCCGGCTCACAACTTTCTGCTTGTGACTTTGGCCAGCAGGCTCATTAGCAGTGGTCAAGATCATCACTCAGGTGCTCTCCAGCCTGTGGCCCACCCAGTGCAGTGAGGAAAAAGCAAAGCAGGCGCCGGCACCCTGATTCGGGGCCTCCCCACCTCCTGGAAGGGCCTAAGAGGCCCCTCCCCAGCTCCGTATGGGGAAATCCCCACCTTTCCTGCACCTCTCCTGTGCCCCCACCACTTGAGCTCAACTCTGCCCACTCACTCTCCTTCTACAGGCCCCAGGAGCTCGTTAGTGCTGTCCCCTGAACAGTCCCCATCCATGCCTTTCCATCTGACCTGTCCCTCTGCTGATGCTTCCCTGGTCTTCCGGAAGGTTTTTCACTGAAAACAGCTTGGGCAGGCCTGGGGGTGAGGCCCAGGGATGGCGGCAGGCTCTGAAGGTGCAGGTGCCAGCCCAGGCTACACTCTGGACTGGGGAGTGCAGGGCTGAGGCTGGAGAAGGGGGGAGCGGGCCCAAGGTGGGTGAGGGCCACGAGTGGCAGCCACAGGCTATTCCATGGAAGGGGGCTTGAGAAAGCGGCGCCTGTTGAGCCTGTAGCAGGTGGGGTCACAGGAGAACCCCTGTACAGTCCAAGGGCTCTGGGTCAGCGCCAGGAGCTGAAGCAACCCTTGGTGGGTCTCGCAGGCCGGCGTGCTGCCGACCTCGTACCCTGCCTCTGAGAAACGGCAACGGTCCTGACTGAGGCTGCCCGTGGGGAGAGACCAGTGTCAGCCTCCTGTGCACTCATAAGGTACACATGACAGGTCATCTACACTCGGCCCTCAGCATAGTCTCTTCTGCACCGAGAGCCATGGGGTCACAGTCCAGTGCAGGGTGAGGACTGGGGCCCCCATGGTGGAGGCAAATATCAGGAAAAGGCTAAAAGCCCGTCCTGCCCCAGAGCTGGGCCCCCTCGTCCTCCTGCAAAGCCCGAGGAAGGCTGCACTCTCCAGCCAGACCTACGGTGCCGTCATCACGCTCTGCTCTCCGTGGTCCACGCTCCAAAGGCGGTAAAACTCGGCAAAGTCCACATAGGGCTCGACACGGCCATCCTCACCTGGCGGGAGTGAGTGGGCAGGCCGGGAGCGGAAGAGGCCCCCGTCTGAGCTGGAGCTGCTGCTCTGTGTGTGCGTGTTGGTGGACTGCAGAGTCAGGGTTGGGCTCTGGCTGCAGGGACGAGGGAGGGAGTTAGCTGGGTCAAGGATTCCAGCCTGGGGACAGAGTATCCCCTGCTTCTGCAAGCCCCTCTCTGACCCGGCCCCTTGGGCAAAGGTGACCACAAGGCTGGCTTGGCCAGGTGTTCTTAAGGGCAGAAGAAAAGTTAAATATATCATTTAAGAGCTAACCACGTGTGGCTATTTAAACGAACTAGAATAGAAAACGCAGCTCAAGTTCACCTGTGGCTAGTGGCTACCTTACAGGACAATGCAAACCTAGGAACATTTCATCACCACAGAAAGTTCTACTGGACAGTGCTGAGCTACAGGCCATCCATTCCAATCCATCCCAACCCAAACCCCACTTGTCACCTCTCCCAGAGACTTCCCCACTCCCCTGCCCTCATGCCCCTCTCCTGGTGCCCCCCACCAGCACAGAGTGGTAAGGGCTGGCACTCCCTCTCTTTAGCCCATCGCCTAGCACAAGGCCCAGCTCCCCGTGGGGCAAACACCCTACTGCTAGATGGAGGAAAGAGGCTGTTCGGGGTCCAGAGAGTCAGAGGTAGAGCTGGCTGGACTTGCTGCCTCAATGGGGACCGGAGCTACCGCCCTCTGCCTTTGTGGACACAGCTGGTGGCTTCCTCTGGGCAGCCCTGCAAGGTTGAGAGGCCACCTCATTGCGATGGAGGTGCCTATTGCCCGCAGCTGCCCAGCAGGCCCTTCGACTCAAGGCAGCCACTGCAGCAGCCAGCACAACCATGGGGGCAGGGAGACAGGAAGACCCCCTGCGACGCGGAGGAAACCAGGGCCACTCCCTCCCTGATGGCGTTTCTGGCTGGGGCTGGCTGCATCCTCCAAGTGGGCTGGGTGTGGCATCTCTATTATTCGGTGCAGGCCTGGAATGCTGAAACCAGATCCCGCCCCCTGGTGAGGTAGAGTGGTAGGGGGCATACATTCCACAGAAGGGAGGGATGGGGTGGACTCCAGAGCTGCCAGGCAGGTCTGCAGCTGGAGGGGGCCTGCCTGCCCCATCCCAGGCTCCAGGCCCCCTGCTGCCTCCCCCGTGCCCCCATGTCCATGCCTTAAACTAGAGGGCTGTAGTTTAACTAGAAAACTTCAGAGTTAAAAAGGATGTTTTAGTCAGAAAGCCACGACTCAGACAAGCCAGTACAGGCTCCATCTCCCCCAAGCACGGTCGCCACTGGGGGAGGTCCCCACATCACACTCCAAAATGCAGCAAGAGAAAAAACAGTAGGAGAACCCTCGCATTAAATGAAAACTACGTGAGACTGATGAGAATTATGACCTGGGGTAGTTCTACTCTGCCATATAGGGTCGCTACAAGTTGGAAACAACTCCACAGCACCTAACAACAGGCAGGATCAAGGAGCCCTGGTGGTGCAATAGTTAAGCACTCGGCTGCTAAGAAAGACCTAGCGATCTGCTCCCATAAAGATTCCCGCCTAGACTAGCCTATGAGGCAGTTCTACTGTCACACGGGGTTGCTATGAGTCGAAATCGATTCAACTGCACCTAACGACAACAGGCCCTGTCAGCCTCAGCTGCCTGAATGGAAACCGTGCCCCGTCCCCTCCCCAACCGCCTTGCTCGCTCTGTCCCCCAACCTCCCCCTCATCCCAGGCCGAGCTTCCATGAGCTGCTGGAACCAGAAGTGCTGCCTCTTCTGCCTTGTCTCTCTGGAGACCTCCCTCACCAGGAATGGAGGTGGAGCACTTGAGAAGTACAAGACCCCATGGCAGCTCATCAAGATTTCTCAGCCACAGGACTCGGTCACGTGGCCGCTTCTGTCCAGTCACCAAGAGCTGTCCCTAGGACTGAGAGGCTGGGGTGGGTGGGGCTTACTTGGTGAGGGTGGGTGTGGCTTCATCCAGGGTGGACACGCTGTGCGCCCCATTGACCATTTGGCCCTGGGAGGGCATGACGAGGGAGAGTGTCACACTGGTCTTGCTGGTGCTCTGAGCGCTTGAGTAGGGCACAGACACGGGGTACACGCGGCCTCCTGCAGCTTTGGGAGAAAGGGCGTGGTAGGCACCAGCACAGTGGGGAATAGGACTGCTCCAGGGCCTGATGGGGGTGGGGCTGAGAGGGCTGGTTGGGGGTGCTGCCCTGCCTTGCTCCCCCAGCCCCAGCTTGGCCCTCTATGCCTCAGACTGTTCAGGAGGATCCTTGGCAGAAACTTCCAGGCCAGGCAGAAGCCTCCTTTCCCCCAGTGCTCCGAGCAGTGACAGACTTGAGGGCTCAAGGGGCCTCACGAAAGGGTCATTGCCCAGCCTCACTTGGAGGCTTTAATCCAGGGACTAAGTTTGCTCTAGCTGAGATAGGCCCAATAAAAATATGATTACAATAACAACAAGCTAGAGAAATTCCAGTGACCCTGGTGTCTGAGAAAGAACACACTCCATCTGTGGACACTTGAGTGCTAAGGTTTGCTTATTTAATAAAAGAGAAAGAAATGCAGCCTCAGGACCTGAAGGTCTTGGCTGAGGCAGCACTGGGAGGGAGATCACTCACCTCTCTTCCTGAGCAGCTTGATTTTAGAACAAAAAAGGTAGAAAGTAAAACCTCTCACCCTTTGCCCGCACCGTGGCCCAGGGACAGAGCCCACCCAGGCTTTGGGGCCTGACCACCTGTCCAGACGCCTAACCTTGTCTAGGTTCCCACCTTCTTGAGCCCCCGTTTCCTCTTCTGTAAAACGGGAGAACCAGATGTCTTCAGGGTTGCTAATAAGGACCAGGCACGCAGAAGGCACTGGGCCAGGAGAAGCCATCCCCCACCGTGAGGCCTTGTGGCTCTCAAAGGGATTCCTTGTGCACTGAGGTCTGTTGGAGGTGCCAGGGCAGGTGGCACCCTCATTTTACAAAGAAAATGCAGCTCAGAGAGGCTTAAAGTCAGAGAATGGATCAGAACCACTCAGACCCAGGCCTCCTGGCCCCACCTCTGCCCCAGACAGCGAGGCCCACGGGCCTCAGCCGCTCGGCCTGTCTCCAGCCCTGGCGGAGTTTTCAGTGGCTGCCTGTCCCAGCACGCGTACCTGGGGATGGGGTCGGCGTAGACTGGCTCATTTCGCCCAGCGGGTAGCCAAAGTTCCTCACCAGCAGGGTCATGTCCTCGTGCCGTGGGCAGAACTTGGCACGCTCCCCGCCACTGGCGAAGGTGTCGCCGTGGATGCGCTTCACGCGGTCCACCACAGCCTGGGCCACAGCGTCCAGGGAGGTCTGCTTGGCAAACTCGGTGTCAATCATTGCGGCGATCTCCTGCGGGAGATGGGAGAGCGAAAACCTGGCGAGGGTCACGAGTGGCCATGGGACTGTAGACTGCAATTCCAGAGCCCTAAATAGGATACTTAGGGTCACAGTCCAAGGAGGTGAAGGAAATCCCTGCCAGCCAAGCCTGCAAACTGAGCTTTTCAAGGTATTCAGGATAGAATTATCCTGGAACTTTCTCATTAGGAAAGCTTTGTGCCCTAGTGAGCTCTCTGATTGGTTTCCCCATCTCTAAAATGGGGATAATATCCACCTCACCAGGTTAGTCAGAGGATTAAATAACATAAGGGACAGGACAGCACTTTGTAGACTAAAAACCCAGTATAAATTATCATTATTATTAAGCTTTCTTTCCTGGAGCAAACTTATTGTAGGTTATATGTGCCAGGTGTTTTGTCAGGAGTCGGGGGTACAAGAATGAGTGAAGCCAGGTTCCTGCCATCAGAGAAATCTCCCGTCCAGTATATTCTAGAACTTAGTAGAAGTCACTGGATAATTCTACCATGAAGGTTCCCCTCCCCCATAAAATCACACTGTCGAAGAGATCAAAAGCACAAACAAAATCCTTTCTACGTGACGGCTAACAATAGTCTCTTGGGGTTAGAGGGTGAGGACAGATAGTAGGAAACAACCTGGGCCCTGGTCTTGGATGTGGAGGTGGTTCAGCTCTGTCACTAGCCAGCTATGTCACCTCAAGCAAGGCCATGAACTCTGAGCCCAGGCTCCCTAACTCTACGTAGAAGTGAGCCCCTGCCCTCCTGTTACAAGGTGACTGGAAGGAATGATAAAACAGGTGGAAAACTCTGAACACAGGTAGCACAGGATACTTAGGCACACAAGGCTTTTTCCTCATAATTTTTCATTAAAAAGGACCAAAGTAGAAAAAACTATCTTCCTACAAGGGTTATACACAGTAGGAACTCAACGTGACCTACTGACTCATCAATTCAAGGTCAAATAAACACAGCTTCCCTCTAACTTCCCTGTGAGAGCCTCCAAGTCACGCTTTAGTGCTGACTGTCCAACGTGGATGCTCAGAGGTGGCTGAAGACCTATGTTTATCACATGAAACCCTCACCACATCTCACAAAGGCAGATGCTGCTAGCCCCAGATTAGAGATGAGAATAAACTGTAAGCTCTCTGCAGCTCACAAAGGGGAAGTGGGCCGAGGACCGCCGGCCAGGAAATGGTGAAGCCGGGACGCTGACACTGCTCAAAGAACTCCTCGCCTGTACTCAGCCTTTCTGGGCTCCCTTCCTCAGCCCAGGTCCCCTCCTGGGAGATCCCAGAGCAATGCTGTGTCCATGGGAATTCACTTCCACCTCACCCTCTTCCCTGCAGGCCTTGCTCTGGGCTTACCACTACTTCAAGCCCAGAATGGGCAAAGCTGTTTGGGAGGGTGACTGCTTTGAGAGCTCTGAGCTTTTCTGCCCCTAGCTTTTTTTTGTTTATTGTTGTACTTTAAGTGAAAGTTTACATTTCAAGTTAGTCTCATACAAAAATTTATACATACACTGTTATGTGACCCTAATTGCTCTCCCTATACTGTGACAGCACATTCCTCCTTTCCACCCAATCCCCCAAGCCCATTCAACCAGCTCCTAACCCTCTGCCTTCCCATCTCACCTCCAGACAGAAGCCGCCCATTTAGTCTCATGCATCTACCCGAGCTAAGAGGCACACTCTTCACGAATATCATTTTATGTTCCACAGTCCAGCCCAATCTTTGAAGAGTTGGCCTCGGAAATTGTTTTAGTTCTGGGCTGATAGAGAATCCAGGGGCCATGCTTTCCGGGGTTCCTCCAGTCTCAGTCAGACCATTATGTCTGGTCTTTTTACTAGAATTTGAGTTCTGCACCCCACCTTTCTCCTGCCCCATCAGGGACTCTCTGTTGGGTTCCCTGTCAGGGCGGTCACTGGTGGTAGCTGGGCTTCATCTAGTTCTGGTCTCAGGCTGATGAAGTCTCTGGTTTATGTGGCCCTTTCTGTCTCCTGGGCTAATACTTCCCTTGTGTCTTTGGTGTTCGTCATTCTCCTTTACTCCAGGCGGTTGGGACCAATTGATGCATCTTAGATGGCCACTTGCAAGCTTTTAAGACCCCAGACGCCACTCACCAAAATAGGATACTGCCCCCAGCTTTGAAGCCAGTACTTGAGGATCTGAGCTCCAGATCCCTGAGCAGGGGGATGAGTCGTCAGGGGGCATCACCTGGGCCGCCTGCTCCGCCCAGGCCCAGCTCACCTGGTTGGCCTGCCCAGGCCCATGGGCTGCTTCCAGGGCCTTGTAGAGTCCCTCGGACATCAGCACCAGGAAGCCAGTCACCCCGTCCAGTGGCTGCCCACCGTGGACTTCGGGCTCTGCAATGATCGGTTTGGACTTGGCAGCACTGTGGGAAGAGAGTGGAGCGGAGAGTTTTGCTTGGAATGGTCCCTGGGTGGACTTTTATTCTTTTATTCTGGCCCAGTTCCGTACCCCTGCCCACAGAGCCTGGGCAGTGGCAGGGTGGAGGCGGGACAGCAAGATGTAAGGATTACCTATTAAAGCTCACTCCTCTTGCTATCACTTGGTCTCCCCCAAAAGAGGTGTCCTAGCCAAGTAAGACCCCCCAAATACATGCTCTATCTGCACATGGGTTATTGACTGATGTGGTATTAACAGTCATTAAATGTGAAAAGAATTCCAACACATGTATGTGTACACAGAGACAAGTATACAGGTAACATTAAAAGACAAGTACAGGAGCAACATTTACGTTGCCATTCATGGCAGTATTATTTCGAAGAGCAAGGCCTGGAAACATCCAGGGTGTTGACCAGTAGGGCCTGGTTGGAGAGATGCTGATATGGTCACACAATGGCACCCAGGCAGTGGTTACAAAGAATGACATCAGCCTGAATTCAAAGTTACAGAGGAGTGGGCATCTCTGATGAAGAAAGTGAGGTGCAGAGCACTGGGGAGGGGATGCTAGCATTTATGGGTGTTCTGAAAAGGATGTCACCCTCCCCCCACCACACACAAACACACAGGTATATACGTGTGTACACAGAAATTGGGGGGCAGGATACTCAAGAAGCTAGCAGCCTCTGGGGAGGGAGTCCTGGCTTGGGGCGGGAGGAAGACACACTTTTCACTGCATACTCTTGGTGCAACTGGAATTGTTTTAAACCACATAGATGTACTTCCCAATAAGGCAAACATAACCCCACAAATTAGGGACAAAACTCAACTGCCTCAATCTTGTGCAGGTAAGGAGTTTTAACATGCGCTTTCTAAGGCACAAGGTCTGGCATCTGCTGATGGAGTCTGGCATGGTTTCTCCACAGTGCTGGCTGTGACATTAAACGCCATAAGGGGCATCACACACACACACCCATGTTTTCCCAATCCATGTCCTCACATACAGCTAAGCCAGTGGTTAAGAGCACAAGCTCTGAAATCAAGCTGCCTAGGTTCAAGTCTGGCCACAGCTCATCGCTAACCCTGTGACAGGGTAGGCTCCTGCTCTCTTTCTTCCACGTAAAAGCTTCCCAGCAGTAACAGTATCACCTCACAGACCTCGAGTGAGGACTGAGTAAGACAATGTACATAAAGAGCTCCACAGAGGCTTGGCACAACAAAGGTTTATAATTATCACTATTATTGTTTGTATTGTTGTTTCTGAGCCCCAGTGACATACAGAAGGGAGAAAGAGACATATAAAATTCACCTCACACCTCTGTCCTGGCCCCAGCCATGGATAGCGCTGACCAACAGCCCTTTGTCTGTCCATCTCTATCCATGCCAGGCAGCTCACGCCTGCTCTGCCTTCCTGCCAAGCCCTGTGGCGCCAGTGGCTGCCCTTGGCTTTGGTCCACCTCCCTGGCTTGACCTCATGCCAGCCAAGCTCTACAGGACTTCACCTCCTGGTCTGCTGGGTCTAGGGCCTGCCTTCACACCAGCCTCTCCTTCGGCTCTGAACTTCAATTGCACTTCTTGCCCCTCTGGCACCTAAAATCTGCCTCTGTACCAGCCACCTACCTGAGCAGTTCAATATCAGTGTAGCCGTACTTGACCTTGTAATCCCCGACGCGCCTGGTGCTCTCCTGCCCACAGATGATCCCCACTTGCTTGATCTTTCCTGCATCCAAACCTACCAGAAGGAGAACAACTCAACAATCCCATCCCCTGTGTATAAAGAACACAAGAAGGGTATCGAGACATATCCATGAGTAAAAGGCAACAAGGACCCACTGAACAGGAAATGAAGTCAATCTGAGCACACCTTGAAAGCAGCTAACTCGAAGTCCCCCAGCGTCCTCAGTCCCCACCCACCCAGCCCCCCCTCACTCAGAACCACCCCCCACCCCCCTACTCTGTGAACACTCCAGCCCTGCCTGGCCCGGCCCTCTGCCCTGTCACAGAGCCACTCTGGCAATGCTAACCTCTGTTCCCACGTCTGCCCAGGGAGGTCGCAGAGAAGGTGAGTGAAGTGGGTTGAACTATGACCACCCCCCCAAAAAAAGATACACCCAAGTCCTAATGCTTGGAACATATGAATGTGACTTTACTTGGAAATGGGGTCTTGGCAGACATAATCAAGTTAAGGATCTCAAGACGAGATCATCCTGGATTTAGGGTGGGTCCTACATGCGATGACAATGACTGGTGTCTTTATAAGAGAAAGGAGGGAGACTGACACAGAAACGCACAGGGACAAAGCTGTGTGAAGACAGAGGCAGAGAATGGAGGGATGCAGCTGTACGCCAAGGAATGGCGAGGACTGCTGGCAGCCACTGGAAGCCAGGAGAAAGCCATGGAATGGATTCTCCCTCCGAGCCCCCAGAGGGAACCAGCCCTGCTGACACCCTGAGTTCAGGCTTCTAGCCTCCAGGCCATGAGAGGAGGAGTTATGTTGTAAGCCAGTTTGAGGTGATCTGCTAGGGCAGCTGCAGGAAACTAGTATGGGGAGGGAGAGCAGCTACGGTGACCAGGAGGAAGCTCAGGACTTCACTGGCTCCTGCTCAGCCTCCACACCAAGCACTTCCTGCGTGCCAGGTACTCTTGGAAGCATCTTACAGTCCTCACAGTCTCTTAGTCCTCACAACTTCCTGAAGTGGGTGTTATCCTCATTACCCAGGTGAGGAAACAGACGAAGGTCCCATGCAGGCTGGCCCCACAGCCCAGGGTCACGGCCCTCTACGGCACACCTCTCTCCATATGGCCACCACAGGAGGGGAAAGGGTGAACCCCTGCCCTGCCACTCACCCAGCTGTGACAGGCGGAAGAGCTCATCCTCATTCTCTGTGGTGTGGTCTGCATTCAGCTGTGTCACCTGTAACCCATCCACCGTGGATTTGCATAACAGTGCACGGTTCGTACCTGCAGCCGAATGTGAGCAGCTGAGCCATGACCATGTATAAGGAAAAACAGGACACATTGAAACGACAGAGAGAGAAAAGGTAGGCACCTCACACGTGGAAATGCTTGAAAAGAGCAAACAAAATAGGGTTGGACCACCGGCGTACGTCACCAGTCAGGGACAGCTGATGATATTAAGGAATTAGGTTACATTTTGAAAGTGTGCTCACAGGAGTATGATTATGATTGTACAGAGTCCTTTTCTCTAGAAATACATACTGACATATTTACAAGTAACATGAGGCAATGTCTGGGATGTGCTTCAAAATAACACAGGGACAAAGGAGTGAGTGGGCTCCCGATGAAACAAGACTGGCCAGGAGCTGGTCATTGTCAGGGCTGGGTGACAGGTCCATGGGGCTCATTAAATACTACTCACTTTATTTTTTTGTATTTTTTAAAAATTTCCATAATGAAATTGTAAGGAAAGAAGGAAGAGAGGGAGGGACATCCCCAGTGGGGTCTCTAAACTTTCCTAATCTGCACCCTGGAGCTCTCTCTGGTTCCCACTTTGCCCCCAAATCCAAATGTCTCTGTGCCCTCCAGCCTACACCTCGCTGCCATTCATGGTGATGCAGAGTGGGTCCCGACAGCGGGGCCACCCTCTTGTAGGAGAGGAGCCACTGAAGCCCACCCAGCAGGGGACACAACTCGCCCCAGGTCACCTGGCCAGTCAGGGGCAGAGAGGGGACTAAAACCTGGCCACCTGCCTCCCACCTGCTGCTCCTTCTCCCTTCAAAACTTCTCTTCAGCTTAAGGGTGACATTTCTGTACAGTAAGAAGGAAAAATACCCAAATGGCTCAGGAGACCTTGGGTCTAAAGCCTCGTTCTATGTGTCTGGAAAGGAGATTGCACCACCACCCCGGCTAGCCCCCTTTTCTCCACCCTCCCCCCGGCCCTCCCCACTGGGGGACAGGTGGGAGGCTCACCAACATTGGCGACATAGAGCTTGTTGTTGAGAAGGACTGCCACAACAGCCATGGCTCCTCCGGAAATCTCCCTCTCCAATGTCCTGAGTCTCTCGAGGATCTTCTGGTACTGAGGAGGCAACTGGTGCTGCAGGACACCCTACAGCCCAGCACCAGAGGGAGTCAGAGCAGGATGGTCCTCAGAGACCACTGCACTACCTGCCCCTCCCGTAAAGAGCCAGGAGCTGAGGGCCTGGAGGACCACGATCCGCGCATAGCCAGGGTGGAGTCATGCGTTTTTGACTTCAGGGTGGGGTTCCTCCAGGAGAGCCAGAGGTGGACCTAGCCTGTCCTGTGTGCACTGGAGCTCAGAGTCAGCTCTTCAAGTGTATGTAGGTGAGGTGAACAGGCAGAGGTGATAAGGCTAGGGACAGATGCAGGTCGCAGGACTGAACTGGAAGGGCCTTTCCTCATGCTTTTTGCTGCCCACCTGCTGCTGAGCTTCAGCATGAAGCTACCAACATGGGCCACGAAGGCCCCTCAGGAGGCACCCATCACCACCCACCGGTGCCACGCTGTCAGGAACTGACCCCATGACCCCTGCTGCTCGGGCCCAGTTGTGTCAATGACTTGGGGCAACATGACAGATGAGTCCTTGCTCCCCCCAAAGCTGGGCCTTGACTGGCTCCTCCAGGTGCAGGTGAGACTACCTCTGGCAGCTGAGACTGGAGGCTCGCCTTCTCAGCCAGCGCATCGTCGATGGACTCCAGGAAGCTCCTTTCCACCACATCAAAGGCCTGGAGGGACAGGGGACAGGGAGCTGCATCAGGGCAGTCGTCAAAACACCAGCTATCACCTGATGCTAAATCGGTACTGACTGCAGGTCCTTAAGTGATGGGGCTGTCTCCCACTCAGCACTGCAGGCACCCACCGCTCCCTTCAGACATTCGGCCCCTGGGACTGTGAGAGTGACCAGAGAAGCAGGTGGCGTGCAGAGGTTAAGAGCACAGGCTGGGACTCAGCCTCTGGGGATGAACTCCAGCGCAGCTGCTTGCCAGAGGTGCCACTTCAGTCTCTCCTCATCTATTAGACGGAGGTGAGCACTGTTCTGAGGATGCAGTGAAACAAGATGCTGTCAGCACTCGGCAGATGCCCGGCTCAGAGTGGGTGCTAGACTGACGACCACTGGTGTCAACACCATGACCCCTTCCTAGGGAGGCTCTGTTAAGACCTCCACTGGCCTCTGGACGCTGGTGAAGCTGACGCCTTCCCCCCAGTGTGTGACCTGCTGAGGTCATGGTCAGCGCTCAGGTGCTGAGGCAGGAAAAGGCTAGGAACAATGTTCCTGAGGACCATGAATCCTCCCTCCTCATCTAAAACTAAAGAGCCTCCAGGTTCATTTCTACAAGAAGCCAGGAGGGAAAAAGCCGAAACAGCAGGAAGCAGAAATGCAGACCGGCAAACCAGGGCACTAGCCAATCAAAAGTGGGGGGCAAGGCCTGCTCCTGAAGGCCCAGGGATGCTCTCTGCAGCTGAGGCCGAGGACCTATGCCACACTAAGGGAAAGTGACCATTCTCGATGACCTTGTTCCTACCAAGGCTTAGTCCCCTCCAGCCATGTACCTTTGTCCAAGGTCACGACTCTAAAACTCCTTTCTCCAGAAGCGTCCCCTCAAGCCAACCCTGCAGTCGTGGGGAAGGACTACTCGCTGGCCCATCCTGGGCCCCTGGGAGATGCTCCCAGAGCTGGTCCTCTGAACCCTCACAATTTATAGCTGTAGGGCCCGAGTTCCTGAGGGCACGATTCCCCGACATCGCCTGTCCTGCACCAGTACCTGCAGCAGCACACGCCGCACGTCGGCATCGGTGTGCTCGGTGCTCAGCTGGCCCAGCAGGAGCTCTGCCGAAAGTCGCTGGGCCACGAAGTTGGTCACCCGGTTGCCATCGTAGCCGTTGAAAACCCCATAGAGGAAGCAGTTGTTCTCACTCCTGACAGAGGGAGAGGGCAGGAGGAGGCCTGAGACCGGAGGCTCACAGAGGTGTGATGCTTGTCCCAGAGTGGACAGTGGGGAGAGGAATGGGGGAGACCAAGAAGCTGCAGCTGCCGTGTCAGGTGCCTGCCTGGGCCCCCCTACTTTGACCACCATTTCACTCCTACCATGCCTCTGGTGTGAAGACTAGATGTGGAAAGGACAGGGCAGAGGTCACCATCACATGGACCACACCTCACAGGCAAGCCCCACGTGAGACAGCCAAAAGACGGGCACCTCTTCCTGTTGTAAATGACTTTAATGCCCAGGACAGCAGGTGGCGGGCTCACCTGAACTTGAGCCAGCTGTCCTCCGGGGGGTGGCTCTCGGTGCCCTTGCCATCAGTAGAGTAGCTGCGGTTGGAGGCTGAGCCAACCCCAGAGAGGTGGCAGAGGGGAAGGTCGTCCGTCCAGCTGGGCTGCTGCTCCTGGGAAAAGACAGCAGGACACTATGAGGGGCCACCTTCTCCCCCAGCACAGACCCCCACCTCACCTTCCTCTTCTTCTCCAACAAAAACCTAGCCGGCCCAGAGCCCCCACACAGAGGATTCCATTTCCTTCTGGAAAACAATGTCGCTTGCATAAGCAGACAACTGCAGAAGGGCTTGCATGCTTATATGTCCAAACTTGTTGCCCAGGAAACCTCCCAGATGCAAAACTTGGTAATGGTTTCCAGTAGTGAGATATGTTATGAAACATGAGCAAACCACACAGACGCACAGACACACACACACACACACATACATACACATCAAACTCTAGATTGAAAACTCTTAGCTGTTGCCATCTCTCCAGACTACAAACGAACCCTTGGCCCTGGTTAAAATTACCGATTCCAGGCCCCACCCTCAGAATGTCTGATCCCACATGTCCCAGGTTGGGTCTGAGATATCTACGTTTTAGGCAGCTCCTCCCAGGTGATTCTGACTCAGTGGTCCAGGACCACATCTTGAGACTCTGACTTACAAGCTATGACTGTCACTCCCTGGCACCTGGAGCCTCCACTGTCTGTCTTCCACTCTGGCCCTCCATTCCGGTGTCCTCTCCCATCTGCCCCGCCCCGTTCTCCTCCACCAGGACCAAATGCTTGTAGTGTTCTGTTCATACCTTGTCTTTCCCTCTACCTGGAATACCCTCCTCCTCAGAACTCCTTGTCTAGCAATTCTCCACATCCTTTGGGATTCTGGTTCAGGTGTTACCACCTCCAGGAAGTCTTCCTTCAGGAAGACCCTCCCTGTTGCTGTTGTTGTTATTATCAGGTGCCATCGAGTTTGTTCTGACTCATAGGGACCCTATGTACAACAGAACGAAACACTGCCTGGTCCTGTATCATCCTCACAATCATTGCTATGCTTGAGAACCCATCACTGCAGCCACTGTGTCAATCCATCTCGTTGAGCATCTTCCTCTTTTTTGCTGACCCTCTCTCTACTTTACTAAGCATGATGTCCTTTCTCCAGGGCCTGGTCCCTCCTGGTAACATGTTCAAAGCACATGAGATGAAGTCTTACCATTCTCACTTCCAAACAGCACTCTGGCTGCGTTTCTTCCAAGACAGACTTGTTTGTTCTTCTAGTACGGTGTATTCAATGGTATATTCCATGGTATATTCAATATTCTTTGCCAACACATAATTCAAAGCCATCAATTCTTTGATCTTCCTTATTCACTGTCCAGCTTTCACATGTATATGAGGCGACTGAAAATATATGGCTTGGGTCAGGCGCATCTTAGTCCTCAAAGTGACATCTTCGCTTTTTAATACTTTAAAGAGATCGTGCAGAAGATTTGCCCAATGCAATAGTAAATCATCTGATTTCCTGACTGCTGCTTCCATGGATGTTGGTTGTGGATCCAAATAAGACGAAATCTTTGACAACATCAACATCTCCATTTATCATGATGTTGCTTATTGATCCAGTTGCGAGGATTTTTGTTTTCTTTATGTTGAGGTGTAATCCATACTGAAGGCTGTAGTCTTTGATCTTCATCATCAGTAAGTGCTTCATGTCCTCATCACTTTCAGAAAGCAAGGCTGCGTCATCTGCATATCGGAGGTTGTTAACGAGTCTTCCTCCAATCCTGATGCCCTGTTCTTCTTCATATAGTCCAGCTTCTCAGATTATTTGCTCAGCACGAATTGAGTAAGTATGGTGAAAGGATGCAATCCTGATGCACACCTTTCTTGATTTTAAACCATGTAGCATCCCTTTGCTCTGTTTGAACGACTGTCTCTTATTCTATGTACACGTTCCTCATGAGCACAATTATGTATTCTGGAATTCCCATTCTTTGAAATGTTATCCATATTTTGTCATGATCCACATAGTTGAATGCCTTTGCATAGTTAATAAAGCATAGGTGAACATCTTTCTGGTATTCTCTGCTTTCACCCAAGATCCATCTGACATCAGCAGTGATATCCCTCGTTCCACGTCCTCTTCTGAATCGGGCTTGAATTTCTGGCAGTTCCCTGTTTATGTACTGCTGCAACCACTTTTGAATGATCTTCAGCAAAATTTCACCTGTGTGTGATATTAATGATATTGTTTGATAATGTCTGCATTCTGTTGGATCACCTTTCTTTGGAATGGGCACAAATATGGATCTCTTACAGTTGGTAGGCCAGGTAGCTATCTTCCAAATTTCTTAGCATAGACGAGTGAGTGCCTCTAGCGCTGCACCCATTTGTTGAAACATCTCAATTGGTATTCCATCAGTTCCTAGAGCCTTGTTTTTCGCCAATGTCTTCAGTGCAGCTTGGACTTTTCCTGCAATATCATCAGTTCTTGATCATATGCTACCTCCAGAAATGGTTGGTCTAGTCACCTCCTGTGTGCCCCTACCATACCCTGGTGCCATCACTCCTGCCTGTCTGTGTGTCTGGCTCCCATTCCACCAGCAAGATCTCAAACAGGCTGCTGAACCAGGTGGAGCTTTAAACACACACACACACACACACACACACACACACAGCTGCCCAGGCCTCAGTCCAAACACACTGATTCCGATTTCCTAAATCTCCTTGGGGGTGCACCCTAAGCATCTGTATCCGCTCCCCCCACCACACACACACACCCTGATGCAGGGACTGTGCCTTGTTCACAAGGGCATTCCCAGGAACACAGTGGTGGCACTTGAGGGAGTAATTGTTGAACTAAAGCAGACTGAAATAATTGGGAGAATCAAAATTGAAGTTCAAGGAAAATAATTAAAACATAAATGAAAAGCTTTACTGAAATATTAAGCAAGAATCCTGTGCACTTCTTCCAAGTTAGCAGTAACAGCTTCAAAAATGGATGTGAAACCACTTCAACAGGCTTTTGCAATTAGATATGTAAAAAGCTCATGGTTAGCTTTTGTAGCAAACTTCATCTTCTGCTTATTTACATACTGACAGGGGGTGACTTTTCCTTTATAGATTTTTTTTTTCTCGTTTTAATTGCTTTTATGCTGCATTTATCTATTTTAGCACTGCAGTTCTGTGCTTTGCACCCTGGAGCAACTTCTGCAAGGTGTGGGAGTTTGTTTTTATTTTTAAATTAACATATAGTAAAATTGACTCTTTCGGTGTAGAGTTCTATGAATTTTAACACATGTACAGATTCATGTCGCCATCACCAGTCAGGATACAGACCAATCCCAATACCCCAAAAACTCCCTCCTGCTGCCCCTTTGCAGTCACACTCTGCCCCACCCTCACCCCTGGCAGCCATTGACCTGTTCATCCTCGCTAGTTTTGTCTTTTTCAAGAATGTCATATAAATGAAATTATACAGTATACGTATAAGCTTCTTTCACTCAGCATAATGCCTTTGAGATTCATCAAGTCGTTTTGTGCATCAATAGTTTGTTCCTTTTTATTACAGAGTAGTATTCCATCAGGAGCCCTGGTGGTGCAGTAGTTAAAGCATTCAGCTGCTAACCAAAAGGGCAGGCAGTTCAAACCTACCAGCCGTGCTCTGCAGAAGAAAGATGGGGCAGTGTGGTTCTATAAAGATTTACAGCCTTAGAAACACCATGGGGCAGTTCAACTCTGTTCTATAGGGTTGCTATGAGTCAGAATGACTTGATAGCAATGGGTTTTTTTGGGGGGTTTTGGTATTCCATTGTCTGGGTGCAAGAGTCTGTTTATCCCTTCATCCACTGAAGGACACTTGGGCTGTTTCCAATTTCTGGCAACTACGAACAGAGCTTCTATAAACATTCACTCACGTACAGGGTTTTGTGTGACATAATTTTTCATTTCTCTAGGGTAGATACCTAGGAGTGGGATTGCTGGTTCAAATGTTTATAAGACACTGCCAAGCTGTTTTCCAGAGTGCCATTTTACAGTCCTACCACCAATGCATAACGTTCCAGTTGCTCCGCATCCTGGCCATCATGTGTTATTGTCTTTCTCTTTTTCAATTTAGTCAATCTACCAGGTGTATAAGGAACCCTGGCGGCAAAGTGGCTAAGCGCTTGGATGCTAACCAAAAGGTCGGCAGTTCAAACCCACCAGCCGCTCCATGGGAGAAAGCCATGGCAATCTACTTCCGTAAAGATTTAGTCTTGCTGTGTGAAATAAGTCTGTCACAAAAGGACAAATATTGTATGAGACTCAAGAAAAGGTTTACACACAGAAGAAAGCATCCTTTGATGGTAACAAGGGTGGGGAAGGAGTAGGAGGGGAAATCACTAACTAGATAGTAGAGGAGTGTCAACTTTGGTGAAGGGAAGGACAACACGCCATACAGGGAAAGTCAGCACAACTGGACCAAAGCAAAAGGATAGAAGTTTCCCAGACACATCCAAACACTTTGATGGACCAAGTAGCTGGGGCTGGGGCCTGGCGACCATAGTCTTAGGGGACATCTAGGTCAAATGGCATAACATAGTTTATAGAGAAAATGTTCTACATCCCACTTTGGTGAGTAGCGTCTAAGGTCTTAAAAGCTTGCAAACAGCCATCTAAGATACATCTCTTGGTCCCATCCCACTCGGAGCAGAGGAGAATGAAGAAAACCAAAGACACAAGGAAAATACTAGCCCAAAGGACTAAAGGACCAAATGAACCAGAGACTCCAACGGCCTGAGACCAGAAGAACTAGGTGGTGCCTGGCTACCACCAATGACCGCCCTGACAGGGAACACAACAAAAAGTCCCAGACAGAGCAGGAGAAAAATGTAGAACAGAATTCAAATTCATGTAAAAAGACCAGACTTAATAGTATGACAGAGTCTGGAGGAACCCCCAAAACTATGGCCCCTGGATGCTCTGCTAACTCCGAACTGAAACCAAACCGAACCACTTTTTAGACAAAGATTAGACAGGCCTATAAAACAAAAAGTTAATACACGTGAGGAATGTGCTTCTTAGTTCAATCAAATATATGAGACCAAATGGGCAACTCCTGACCAAAGCAGGATGAGAAGGCAGGAAGGG